TACATCCCTATCATTAGCCTAACAATGGTGCACCGTTTCGGCAAGCATCTGTCCCCAGTGGTTCATGTCCTTATGGGCAACATCTACATTCTTTTCCCACCTTTGATGAACCCCATCATCTACAGTGTCAAGACACAACAGACTTGTAGCAGAATGCTCAGACTCTTTTCTCTGAAAATATATTGAGATATTTCGGTTTTCAAAAACAAAACAGCAACAACAAAAATAAACACAGAATAATCAATACAAAAAATAACTTTGATTAGAATTAGAGCTTTACCTCTGAGCCCATAGTTCTTGATTTTAGAACACACTTTAAATGTAATCAGAGAGTCACCTACAAATAAACCTCATTTTAACCTATGTCCTGGAAGTGGGTTGTTGTTAGGGATGGAGGTTGGAGATCGATCTGAAGCATTCCATAAATACCCTACCAACTGTTGATTTGTATAAAACAAGACATATGTAGGTCATGTCATAAGCATGACCATAGTCAAGAAAGTATGAAACTAGTTAATGTGCCCAGAGTGTATTTTCAAGCACTGTCTCTGAAAATAAAGTACAATGAAGCTAGATTTGAAGAGTCGGTCTTTCAGTTTCAAAAGTGGGTAACTTGAAGCTACTTCAGTTCTCTGAGATCCAGTTAATTAATCTTCAAAATGAGGAAAATACCCAACTCACAGAAATATTGTGATGATTGATGGGCCAAATTTTCCAATAGAATTTTTCTAAAATGATAAAGATGTTCTATAATATAAAGTAATATGGACCATCATATTAAGGATATGTTTTTAGTAAAAATAATCTGCTGATAATAAATCCACAGGTGAATGCTCACTGTACACTTTACCTCCTAATTTTCCCAGGTCTATAAAAACTTTGTCATTAAATAGACTTGAAAGATTTAATATTAGTGTTTGGGATGCTGGCAGTATTCTCTTTCTTGGACAGGGTATTTGTTATAAGCTTTCATTATTTTTGTGGTATTTAATCTAGCTGTATCTTTATTTATGGACCTTTCTGTGCTTATGTTAATAATAAAAGACAAATTTAAGGAGTATGAAAGTGTCAGTTTACAGGCACACCTGGCGAGTGAATAAACGTTTTTATTTCTGTCACTTTCTATAATCAACTGAAACTACAGAAGTACACAGAGGCACTGTGAGAGAAAATAATAACAATGTATATGAAAACCAATTTTATAAATACAGAAATTTTAGATAGTATTCTTAAATGATGAAACAAGATAAATAAATCGGAAGTCTAGGTGCCTACAGAAGGAGATACAAATGAGAAGAAAACTATCTGCATAGGACAATCCTGGAAAAGCACCCATATTTCTTATAAAGTACTGGTGAGGGGTGGGGCTGAGAATGGTAGAAAAGGTGAACATCTGTGTAAGTTTTCCTAACTAAAGTATTCAGAAACTCACTCCTCTCTAATTCAAGCAAAATGATTGTTCTCTGTGGTAACTGATCAAATATGACCCAGATAGAGGGGCACAGAAGACAAAGAATGCCAGGAGTGAGGTATCATATATAAAAGAGAGAGATTATGTAAAATAATACATGTTGAATGCTGAAGTCCATGGACACATTTCTCCCATTCATCTCCTAAAATGCTAACCAGACTGATATTCCATAGTCAGGCAATTATAGAATTATTCTCTGTAAAAACTGTCTCAATACAAAAGAATAACAGATATTGGCATTTGACTATTACTCACTGAATTGGGTGGGCTCCTTCCTCATCTGCCTGACACATAACTAATTAGATAACAAATCCCACCATATTCATAGGAATCTCTAATAGGTCTTTGGTCCCTCACCATGAAATATGAATGGACAGCCAAGGATTACCAGAAGTGTGATTAAACCCACCAGTACAAAAACCACATATCCAAAATAAATTTTAAACTAGAAAATTAACTGTATGGAGCAGAGTTTATTCAGAGTAGGCATTAAGATATGAAAAGAAAACAAGTCCATAATTTTCTTAATGAGATAATCAGTAATATTAGATCCTTGATATAAGAACAGAATACTATTAATAGGAACCAATTAGAGAACAGAGAAGATTATTTGTAAATTGAACAACAATATGAAAGATGAAAGAAAAATCAATAGAAATCTTAGGAGACAGAGTTAAGAAAGCAGAGCAAAAGTGATAAATACAGGGACTGGGAGAAAAAAACCACATAAGGGGTCAAACCAAGAACACCAGAATTTTACTAATAGGAGTTCTAGAAAGACAGAAAGGATAAAAATATAGGAAGAATTTATTAAGAAATTATACAAGACTTTTCCTAGAACAAATGATAAAAGAACACAAGTCCAAATTGAGAGTATCCACCAAGTACCCAGTTAAAAAATAATATATATGTTATATTACATGTGTGTGTGTGTGTGTGTATATAATAGTAAGTTAAGAGAATAGAAAGGTCAGCCACAGACTGGCAGGAACTATTTGCAAAATACATATCTGATAAAGGTCTTGTATCCAAATGCAAAGAACATTTAAAACTCAACAATTAGGAAATAACCAACTCAGTTAAAAAGTGGGCAAAAGATCTGAACAGACACTTCACCAAAGAAGATATATAAGTAGTAATAAACACATGAAAAGATGCTCAAAATCATTTTTCATTAGGGAATTTCAAGCTAAAACAACAAGGAGATACCACTACACACCTATTACAATGGCTAAAATCCAAAACCCTGACAACGACTCTGGTGAAGATGTGGATCAACAGGAATGTCATTCATTGCTGGTGGAAATGCAAAATATTACAGCCACTCTGGTTGAAAGTTTTGCAGTTTCTTACAAAACTAAACATAGCTTACCATGTAAAACAAACAACTGCACTCTTAGATGTTTTACCCAAATGAACTGAAACTTATATCCACACAGAGACATGTTTATAGTAGCTTTATTTGTAATCACCAGAAATTGAAAGCAACTAAGATGACTGGATAAGCAAACTGTGGTACATCTATACACTGCAATGATATTTGATTAGAGAGAGAGAGAGGGCTATCAAGCTGTGAAAAGACATGAAAGAAACTTAAACACATTTTACTAAGTGACAGAAGCCATTCTGACTACATATTTATATGATTTCAACCACATAACATTCTGGAGAGGCCAAACTATAGGAAAACTACAAAGATCAATGGTTGCAATAGTTTCAAGGAGAAGGAGGGAGGAATGGATAGGTGGAGCACAGGGGAATTTCAGGGCAGTAAAAGTGTTCTGTATAATACTGTAATGGTGAGTATATGACATTATGTATTTGTCAAAACCATGGAACAGTAAACAGAAAGAGTGAACCCTAACGCAAACTGTTTACTTTGGTTAATAACAAGATACTAATATTGATTCACCAGTTATTTAAAAAAAGAAAAAGTTATTCTAGGCATATACTTTTCAATTTTAATACAAAATATGGGAGTAGAGAGAACACACTAATAGCTTCAAAAAGAAGATGAGTGCATAAGTAAACAAACAGCTTGTATCTCCAGGATCAGAGAGCAGAATGGCACTGCTAATTTCAACAGCAACACAGGGATCTAGAAGATAGCATGATTTCTCTTCTCAATTTTGAGGGAAGCTACTGGAGTCCTGGGAGATAATGGTAGTGATATATTTCTGAATGTGTCTACACAGTTCCTCCTCTTTCCTCAACTCATAGAGATCAACAAGACGGGTAAATTTAACCATTCATATTTTCATACATAGAGAAATAGACAATTCCAAATTTTAGTGTCAGCTCCAGAATCCACACCAGAACAAAGACTGTGCAGGGAAGGAAGGTTGGGGAGTGGTAGCCTATAGTTAGTGAAACACTGATGATACCCCCAACCCCAAACTACATACACACCAAATTAAAAAAGAGAATCAACCCCAATGCTGTAAAATAGTGAGAATAGGTTCAAGACCCTTGGAATTACATATTCCCAACTGAGGAATTAAAAGGAATATTTGAAAGTGCATGGAAACAGGCTTAAAAGTAGTTTGGGAAAGTGTTAATTTTGCGGTAGGGAAAATGCTTGGAGGTGGAAGGAGTTATTTTGAGGCTTGGTAGTAAAGGAAAAAAGAAATCATGATTAAAGAACCAAAAGGAACATAACTGAATCACACAAAAAAAGGATACGTCATCTCTATCCCAACCAAAATTAGCAGCAGGGAATTAAAAAACTGCCATTCGCTTCACTGATGGAAATGGGTGTCAGTTAGAACAAAGAACGAGTAAGTCGTCTTACCCTTCTCGCCTGCATACAACTGTTATCAATATTCCAAGAAACATAAGACATTTCAAATGACAGTTTCTATAAAAAGTGGAAAGTGAAAGTAAAAATGTTTCTACTGATGAACACTCTACCTCCCACTACTGAAACACACACACACACACACATATGTCATAGAAAAACTACAATTTATCTTTCCAGCCTAAATAAACTATCTTTATGATTAATTTGTAGATTTGGGAATAAAATAATAAAATTAAAGACAGAACAGAAATGTATAAAAATGGATGATATGATTTAAGAGTTGTTTGAAAATCAATATAAAAACTGAAGTACAAAATCATGTTAGAAATAATGATTACATTATTATTGTTATCTATTGTGTAACAAATCACCCCAAGATTTAGTATCTTAATGGTTTATTTTTTCCCACAATTGTGTGGGTCAACAGTTTACATAAGATTGATTACATGGTTCTGCTTCACGAGGAATCAGCTGTGGTCACTCAACAGGCAGCATTCAGTTAGGAAATGGGCCGAGATGGAAGGGCCACAGACGTCACTCACGTGCCTGGTGCCTCAGTGCCCCTCCACATAGTCATATCCCCTCCATAAGGAAAACTTAACTTCCTCGTAGTATGGTGATCTTAGTATTTCTCACATTGGTGGCTGACTTTGAATTAGAAACAATGTAGAAGTTGCCAGTCTTCTTATTACTTTGGTTCAGGAACCCAAGAACATTAGCATCATTCCTGCCACATTCCACTAAATAATGGTAGAAACAACTCTCTTGAATCCCAGATTTAAGGGGCAGTGGGAATAAGTTTCACTTCTGATGACCACAGTGGCACACACATACAAAGAAGGAGACAAGTGATTACAGTTCTCTTCTCAGATTACCTTCCATGTTGTCCAAAAGAGAATAGTGGAGATAGTAGAT